ACAATGGCCTGGCTCGCTCACTATTGTACATTCTGTATTCATCTGCGAATCCCGGTTTTTAGCACAATGTGCAAAGCCCTTCTTTTCACTGGTGCAGTCCTGAAGGCCCAAGTGTAGCTGTAATTTCGGCTGGAAACACTAATAATGATGCTAAGAGCAAACTACACATGAAGCTGAGACATTAATTTGTTCAGGTTATTAGAGTCACATTGATGGCATTTGGATACTACTGTCCATTAAATCATGATCAAAAGAAAGGCTGAACACCTTAAAAATGGTTCTGAAGTTTTTAGCAATTATTAAGTATAATTTTCCAAATCCAGAGATAGGTATGTTTTTAAAAAAAAAAAATCCCTTTCATGAGTCTTTGATACATATTCCATCAAACACACACTTGAACAAAAATTAACTTCAAAAGATTAAGTGAGGGTGGTGGGGTGGGGAGTTTCATATTTTTCCTTCTTTCCCAGGACGCTGTAACTTTAACTGTAGCAGCGTAAATTAGGACATGCTTACCAGCTGGAAAGGAGAAAACTGATACTGCCCAGGCAGTATAGCCTCTGAGAGCATATCCATTCCAGCATTTTCACGTGCCTGCTAAAAGTCTGCAGTAGGGGAAGTCCACACAAGCATTCCTTAGCTAGCGAATCGCACAGGAACCTTCTTGGAGAACAAGGCACAGTGTTTCAATATGCAGTGTTAAGTATGAGTACATCTATTCGAAGGGTCAAGCAAACTGCACTCCCGTTTTTTTAATTACTACGAAAATGTGTTCCACCCCATGCAATTGAACTATCAGCCAGGAGGTGGAAATACTACCAGAGTTGTGCTCTGCTGAACAGATAAATTTCCCTTCCCAATCATGTCCTATATGAACATATATTTGTGGCCAGCATCGGGAACATGAGACACTTGGACTGCTGCTTTTCGCCGAGAGAAAGATCATTAACAGAGGGACCCAGGCTGGTACTCACATGCGTTATGGTGACAGCCCTTCTATACCGAAATGACAGTGGTAAAAAATGACAACTGGGGTGGCCCTTCTATGGTTGCTGTAAACGCTTTACATTTTTTCCATTTAGGGAAAAGTGTTAAGTGCAAAGGGGATAACTTTGCCTTCAAAAATGATTCATGATGCAGAGAACTGTTGGCAAATGGCTTGGTGCGTTAGACCCCAGCGGGGCCACCCTTTTGGTTTTGAACCTCAAGGATTTCCAGTGGTGTGAACCATCCTGAGCTCCCTTTGCCAGAGTATAACAGTTCCCAGCAATAAAATTCTTTCCCACCGCTGCAGTGTGCATGTCGCGCTGTTAACACTATGTACACACTCATCCTTTACCTGGTTGCTAGCCACTCACAACACTAAAAAAGTTCCAGGTTAATTTTGCAGTTTTGTTTGTTGTTGTTGCTGTTGGTCTCTCATTAAAACACTTTTCAGACTTATGAATAGGGTTTCCTTCTGGAGTTTTACAAGTCAAGAGTAAATGTATTGATTATTCCCTGAAAGGGTAACTGATGGCTAGCTAATCATTATACAGATAGCAAGTTTTCCTGTTTCATCTTGTGTACACGACCAGATTAACAATGCCAGGGAAAGCAAACTCGACTCTGCAGGAACAGGTGTGCCCTGAGTCTTAAAAGGCCAAAATATCTCACAAAGTATGTCACTGGTGTATTTTTACAATGCTAGTAGTATTTGTTTTTAAGTAGCCAAACTTTTTAACTTTTTTAAAGAGGCACACTTTGCAAATATTTCTTCACCTATTCAATGACTAAGTGCCAGACATAAACTGCAATTCCAGCCCCGAAAAGAAACCCTCTTAGGGACAAAGAGTTTTGTTGTTGTTGTTGTTTGCTCTTGTTGCTGCTGTTGTTGCTTAAATCACTGATAAGAGATGGTAATTCGCCTTGCCCCTCCCCCAGGAGAACACCCAGTTAAGGGACAGTTTCAAAGATCCCAACTGAAATCTTAAATAGCAGGGCTCAAATCCACACAGCTACAGAGAGCACCCACCACCCAGCTGTTATTAATGCACCATCAGAAAACAGGACAAAAACAAACCTAGCTATATCTTCCCCACCTTGCTTTATCAACAGGAAAAAGAAAGAAACGAAAAGCTACCTAGTTAGGTCCAAAACAAGCTCCAAACCCAAGATTCGTAAATTTCCTCTAATAACTGTTTTCTACAGGGACAAACAGGGGTCCCTACCCCTCGGGCACAGAAAACCAATCAGGGTCATAAATTCCCTTTGCCTTCAACCCTCACTCCCTTCTACCAGGGACCGAGTGGGGGGAGGGGGTGACCCAGCATCAACACTTGCACTAAACCCCTCAATGCTCTACAGAAATATGCTGGCTTATTTCCTTTGTTTGGTCCTGTTATACTTGATCAAGTGTGAACTATTAAACTGGTTTCATTAAAGGCAAGTGCATTCACAGCTAGCATCTAACTTCAATGGCAACTGGAAGCATATTTTGCAAGAAGGAGGGCCTGGTTTTTTGCTTGAAATCTACCATCTCATTAACTTTTCTTTTGGGGGCAATAAAAAGGGCACTAGGGTTTTTACAGGAGAGTGTCAGAGCCGCACAGAGATCTGATGCTAGACAAAAGGATATTTAGTGTTTCAACTCTGGGGTAGGGTCCCTGGTACTTAAAAAAGAGAAAAGAAATCCTGTTTCAATATGAATGCTGCTCTGACTGAAAGTGTTTAATTAGCATTTTGAATATTACTTTGTAATTGCTCTACGAAGTACTCTTTGAAATCAAATGATTATAAAAACAAGATCCTTAAAAGTCCCATCACTTCAAAATGTAGGGGAAAAAAAAATTTTTTTAAAAAATCAAAACAGTGGAATTCTCCTAAGCACATGAAAACTGAAGTTCTACTTTGAGAAGCGTAGAAGCAGAACAGCAGTTAAAAACTGAACACGAGGTAAATTTTAAACTTGTCTTTGAACCCAAGCACCTAGCGGAGAAGAGTGTCTTCTTTGAAGGAGCAGTAGGAGAGTTTGATTTATTTCACCAAAGTCGGGAGGCAGAATCACTTAGTAAACTAACCAAAATAAACGTCCCCTCCAAATTATCCATGTCAGATAAAAATATACCAGTCTCTACAATATCCAACAGAATTGCAAATAAGGCACTTAGCATTTTAAATTCCCAATGCATATTTATAGAATAGAATTCTCTGGTCTACCCTTCGAGCCACTCACGTCTGACTCTCTAAGAACTTAACCCGATCTCCAGTCTTGGAAAAAAAAAAAAAAAAACGGGGAAAAATCCAGAAAAATCTGTTTACCCGGGAGAGAGCAAGTGAGCCCGGCGTGACGACGCAGGCCACCGCCAGCAGCCTCCACCACCAAGGACGCAGATCAAGCGGGGATTTCTACGAAAAATTCCTTTCACTTGTTAAATACTAAGGACGGGGACCCTTGGAGCCAACTGCTGCTTGGGCCGCCTCCGGGAAAAGTATTCCGGGGGCTGGGAGCACTACATACACTCGCGCGCGCACTCACACTCGCTGTCCGTGACCATCGGCGGCGGCGGAAAGCGAGCCACCGGAGGGAGTGTGTGCGCGTGTGTCTCGACGCGGCCGGCGGTGACCGCGCCGAGCTCCCGGGCCCGCGGCCTCCCAGCACCCGGGCGCTGCGTGGGCAGCAGGCGACCGGCCACGCCGTGGGCCTCTCCAGCTGGTGAAGGGCCCCCGCGCGCCCCGGATCTCGCGCGCCCGTGTCCAACTTGCCCCGGGGCGCTGGGAAGAGCGCCAGGCAGAGAAAGAAAGGCGCTTCCCCTCGGCCGCGCGGGTCGGTCCGGCGCCGCGGAGGACAAGGAGGAAGAGGCGATCGCGGCCGCCCGGCTGTCGCTGCGCCGCGCCGAGTCCCCGCCGCCCGGGGCGCGCCCTCGCCAACCCCTCCTGCGAAACTTTTTCTTTTGGGTTCGCCCCACCCGAAAAGTGCGGCCAGGGCGGGGGAGGCGGGCAGGCGGGCAGGGTTCGCGGCGGCCGCGGCAGCGGCGGGCGAGGAGGAAGTGGTGCCGGCGGGAGCGCGGCCGGGCAGAGGAAATGCCCGGCCAGCTCGGCCCCCGCCCGCGCCCGTCGCCCGGCTCGCCCCTGGCCCCCGCCCCGCTGCGACTTTGGCGGGCCGAGCCCGGCGCGGCAGTGGCAGTGGCGGCGGCGGCGGCAGCAGATGTGGCCCGGCTGCCCGGAGGAGCCAACAATGCGGGGCCGGCAAAACAAAAGGGTTCCACTTCGCCTGCGTTCCCGTCTCTCACTTGCGCTCCCGGGGCGCCGCGCGGGATCCCCTGCCAGCAGGGGCCGCTCCCCTGGGGGCCCGGAGCCGCGCGCGCCCCGTTTTCCCAGCGGACCCCCCGCTCCCCTCCCCCGCCCCGCAGGCCCCAGGCCCCACGCGCTCGGACTCCTGGTCCCGGGGGATCCGGCCGTATTGTCCCCGCGGCGCGCCGCGCGCTCGGCCTGGGTCGCTGGCGGCCCCCGCGCGCGCGCGCACCCACCGGCCTCGGGGAACGGGAGCCGGGGACGCCTAGGAAACCGTCGCCGAGACGCCGCCGCCGCCGCCGCTGCCCTCCGGACGCCGCCGCGCTCGGGGTTTCTTTTTTTTTTTTTTTTTGCCAATCCTGATGGGAAGGAAGGTGACCGCCTACTTCGCATTCATCAACTCTCATCACAACAACAAAAATCCTGGCGCAAACAGCGGCCAGCGGGCGCGATCGGCGGCGGGGGGTGGGGTGGGGGGGGTGTTTGGGACGGCAGGCAGGGAGCCCCCGGGCCTGCGCCCACCGCCCGAGCGCCGAGCGGGGACACCGGGCCGGGGGGGTGGGGGGCGCAGACCAAAGATGTCCTCGGATGCCGGCTCGGTGTCCTTCGCCCTCCTCCTCCCCCAGTGGCGCAGTGAGGCGCGGGCGCGGCGCCCCCCAGCCCGCGGCCGCAGGTGAGGCGGGGGCGGCGGCGGCCCCAGCCCTCCCCCGGCCCCCCCCCCCCCTTACCTCGTCCCGGGCCGCCGGCGTCCACGGCGAAGGGCGCCCACCCGGGAGGCGGCGGCGGCGGCAGCGGCGGCGGCTCCCGCCCCTTCCACCCCACCCGGCGGCGGTGGCGGCGGCGGCGGCTGTGCGGGCCCCCCGGGTCAGCGCGGCATGGCTCCCGGCTCCGTCCCTCGTTCCTCTGGCCGCCGCCGGCTCCTCTGGGCCGCTCCCGGGCCACCTTAAAATGACACACGCACACAGGGACACACACACAAAAACTTAATCTCTCCAGCTCCCCGCCCCTCCCCCTCCCGGCCTCCCCTCTCCTCCCCTCCCCTCCGCTCCCCACCCCAGCCCTCCCCTCCCCTTCCTCCTCCTCCCCTCGCCGCCGAGCCTCTTCCTACTTCCCCACCCACCCCACCCCCTTCCTCCGCCCACCCGGCTCCCGATCCTCTCCAGCCCGGTCCCGGCCGCCCGGCCGCCGGGAGGGGGCCGCGCTGGGGGTCCCCGGCCGGCACCCGCCCCGCGCCGCGCTCACCCCCGAGAGGATGCTGCTTCCAACTTGGATCGGGGTGGGTGAGGGGGCGGGGGAAGGGAGCGTCCGGGAAGCTGAGCGCCTCCCGGCTATTTGCTCTTCTTTATTTGTTTTCTCCTCCGGGGAAGGAGGAGGAAAACGGAGAGAAAAGGAAAGGGGAAGAAGCGGCGCGGCCACGTCTCGCGGTGGCCGCCGGCTGCGCAGGAGCGAGGCGGGAGGCGAGGTGAGGGTCGCAGCTCGCTCACTCCTCGCTCCCCTTTTTTTTTTTTTTTCTTTTGGGCAAAGGCGGGGTCTCTCTTTGCAAACCAATGACACAACCCCACATGGGCCGGCCTCGCCCCCTACAGCTACTCTTCACTACAAATCGGCTCTCTCCGGGGATTAGTGGCTCCGCGAAAGTGCACACGGGCGCGGCGGGCGGGCACTCCCCGGCCTGGCCCCGCCCGGGAGGCCCTGGAGACTCGCTGGGGCCTCGGGGACAGGGGCCGGGCTGGGTTGGGGGGGGGGTCCGACGGCCGCGGCCGGGAGCCCGGCCCTCCAGCCGCCCCCCTTCCTCCTCCGCCCCTTCCACGTGGGTCCCCGGGCGGCCGGCCACGTGGGGGGACTCGAGTGCGCGCGGGCCTTGGCGCGGCGCCCCAGGGTGGCCCTGGCTCTGGCGGGCCCCCAGCCAGGCCCGCGGCGCCGACCTGCCCCTTTCCCGGCCCCGCAGCTCCAACTTCCTCCCGGGCCCCTCCGCCGGCCGCTTCTGCCTTCTTAGGCCCGCGGGGTCAGGCGCGGGCCGGCCACAGGGGGCACTTGCGCTCCCCAAATCCGGATCCGGGAGACGCTTGCCCGTGCCTGGCCCGAGGGGCGGCGGATGGCTGTGGGTGCGCGCGGAGGGAGCCCGATGTGCTGGAACTCGCAGCGGTTGTGTTCCCTACGAGAAGCAAAACATTTTTTACACATTAAAAAAAAAATGTTCTTCCTGTTGCCTGGATCTCGCTGGGGCTATTTTTAAAGCCTCGCCTTTGGGTGGGAGCTCCGGGCCCCGCGGGACGGAGGCGCTCTGCGGCTGGGTTACCCCACCACCATTCGGCCCCGCCCCGCCCCAGAGTCGGGGACCTGGGCTCGCGCGCCGTCCCGAGGCCCCGAGGTTGGTGTCTCTACACCAAACCTGGGATCCAGGCCGAGCGCCGGCTGCAGCTACATCCCACACCCGTGGCCCGCGCGCGGCGTTGGAGCGCGGTTTGCTGGAGGGACTCCGCGATGCGGGCTGGGAGGGCTCTTCTCCTTGCGACCCAGAAGCCCACCGACTGTCATCTCTCGTCCCCGAGATCGGCCGCGCGTCCTCCGAGGGCCCCCGGTGTGGGCTGAACGCAGCCCTTCGTCTTGATCTGTTTGAAAACCATATTGAGATGTTACGAAGTGGATTGAGATGTTGAGCTGGAAAGGCGTGGGGAGGGGTGTGAGGCCCGGCCTCTGCAGGCCTCCGGGGCAGCGGTTCCTAGAGCCGAGTCCCCGGTTCGGCTTCCCGCCTACCCGGGAGTGCACCACGCCCTACGAATCGGAGGCAATTTCAGCCGGGGCCTGGGGGTCAGAGAAAGGGCCCCCGAACCGTGGGGTCCTGTTCTGCCTCCCCAAGAGCGCAGCTCTAGGCCTCTCGGTCTATTAATATTTTTAAAACCCCTACTCAGGCCCGCAGCGTGCGCTAAAGTGCGCCCAGGTTGGCAGGCGCGACCGGCCTTGTGGGGGTCCTGACTCCTGATGGTTGCTTTATCATCCAACAGTAGGTTTTCGAACCCTACTGAAGCCCTCCTAGAAGTGGCGGCAGGGCGGGACGAGGCTTTTCACACCCTCTAGATCACAAAATTCTGTTACTAGGATGTCCGAAGCTTGTTTTCTGCTTGACACTATTAGGCCCCGGAGGGCCAGCTGGAGTGGCTCCGGTTCCGCAGAAAAACCGCCAGAGCCGCACTCTTAACGGACCCCATCTTCTGACCACTCCGCACCCCCAGAAACATTTTCGAGGCGCTCCTCTCCCCAGCAGTTTTGCCTCAGTCATGGCGCCCAAGATAGTTCTAGGTTATACCCTGACCCCACCCACCCCAGACTACTGGACTATTTTATCTGTTTTTTAGGCACAAACTGTAATAACCAGAAAGATTTTCTGCTTGCATATTTTAGTGATGATCTTTGGTTCTGAGTGGCCCTCTTTTCACCCAGAAAGCACAGAAAGTCAGTTGGTTTTTTAGATCACTTGTTCAACTTTTATGTCTACATGAATTTGACCTAAACTTAGAAAATACTGTGTTCAGTGTTTTAAGAATGTTTAAAAAAGAAAAAGGTATCCTCAGAAGCAGAAGTTATTTCTCATTTCAACTTGATACTCTGTATTTTGAAATAGAGTCCATTTGCCCCCAACACAAATTATTTGTCCCCAATAATTTGAGTTATTTCAAATTCCAATTTTCTAAAGAGATTTATTTATTTATTTATTTGTGGCCTGCAGGATCTTTTCTGTTTAGTTGCGGTGTGTGAGATCTTCCTATCCCAGGGACTGAACCCCTGTCCCCTGCACTGGCAGGCAGATTCTTAACCACTGCACCGCCAGGGAACTTCCTCAAACTCCAGTTTTTAAAAAGATGTTCCAGACAGCAACAAGAATGTTTAAATGGGCAAAGAGTTGAATAGACATTTCTCAAAGGAAGAGATATACAAATGCCCAACAAGATTTCCCTAACTTAAGGAAAATGTGAATCAATATCACAGAAAGATACCACATCATATTCATCAAGATGGCTATTATTTTAAAAAAAAACCAAAATATCAAATGTTGGTAATGATGTGAGAAATTAGAAATTAAATATAAATTGGTGCAGCCACTGTGGAAAACAGTTTGGTAGTTCCTCAAAAAGTACTGTAGAGTTTACTAGATGATCGACAATTCCAATTCTAGGTATATACACAGAACAATGGAAAGCAGGGTCTCAAACAAGTATTTGTATGCCAGTGTTCATAACAGTAGCCAAAAGGTGGAAATAACCCAAATATCTCTCAAAGGATGCATGGATAAAATGTGGTCTATACACACAATAGAATATTATTCAGCCTTTAAAAAGGCGAGAATTCCAACACATGCTAAACATGGGCCAGCCTTGAGGACATTATGCTAAGTGAGATAAACCAGAGACAGTATTATGATTCCACTGATATGAGGTGTTTGGAATAAGCAAAATCATAGAGACAAATGGAAAGAGATGACCAAGGGCAGGGAGGCAGGGAGAAAGGGGAGTTATTGTTTAATGGGCACAGAGTTTCTGTTTGGAATGATGAAAAAGTTCTGGAAATGGATGATGGTGACAGATTCCACAATAATTGTGAATGTGCCTAATGCCGCACAACTGTACACCTCAAAATGGTAAGTTTTATGCACGACTTACTGCAATATAAATGTTGTAAAGTAGCTTTTGTTTTACAAACCTTAGTTTATACTTACAATTATATAAAGGTATTTTTTCAATAAGAAAAAAATCAAGATAAAATGTTTTAAAATATATTTCAGTTAATTTTCTAAATAAACGCCTTTTACTAATTTTGATCTATTCCAGTTACCTTTACAGTATATAGTGCTGAAATGCTAATTTTTTAGTACTCTCTGTGCTCTCTTCCCATCTAATCCTATTTAATTGGTCAGGTTTAATTTCTGGTGTCCCAACATAGATTTTGAAAGACACAAAAAAGAGTCACAAAAATAACAATAGCAGCAACAAATGTTGGTCTCACTAAGATGCCTGGCACTGGGTTAAGCCCTTGACATGCATCTTTAATCCTCATAACAACCCCTGAAGAGACAGGCTAGTATTATCCCCATTTTACAGTTGAGAGAACATGAGATTCAAAGACTTCATGTGACTTCCCCAAGGTCACACTGCTGGTGAGAGAGGAGCTGGGTTAGAGCCCTGCCTGTCTAATTTTGTTTACATACACATATCTTCATTATTAGTGTGGATTTAAAAAAGGCAAACTTAGTTACTTTAAAAACATATTTTTAGCTTCCTATATGACAGGTTTTTCATTCTTCATTTTTTAGTAATAAACCTTCCATCTAATCTTTAAAGGAAGAAAAAAATAAGGAATGTCCCAAAATATATGTGCTGTCAGACACTGGTTATAAAATAAAAAGACAGAGATGGGTATGGTATGGTGGATTTTAAGACTCCTGAGGATCAATTTCAGAACAACAAACAAAAGCTGTAATAGTGAAAGTAAAAAATAAATGATTACTGAGAATCAGGATTCCACATATTACTTTCATGTTAAGGAAGAAGTAATATAAATAGTTCAGAAATGTTGCATCTAACACTTTTTTTTTTCTTTTTTGCCTTGCGAAAGATCCATAATCACTTTTTCCTGATGATCTGAGTTAAATAGAAAAATCCATTCACCCAGAATATTTCATTTGTTCAGGTAATCTAATGATAAAGAAACTGCCTGCCAATGCAGGAGATCTAAGAGATGATGGTTTGATCCGTGGGTAGGTAAGATCCCCTGGCGGAGGGCATGGAAATCCACTCCAGTATTCTTGCCTGGAAAATCTCTGTCCTCATGGACAGAGGAGCCTGGGGGATTATGTTCTATAGGGTCGCTATGAGCCGGACATGACTGAAGCGATGTGGCAGCAGCAATCTTGTTAATCAAGCTTCTGAAGTGGGAGGAGTTGGAAACGTACACACTGCCCAGAGATGTGCTATAAAAGAGGCTTTTCCTTTATTCTGGGGAACTCAGTTTACTGGCCTGGGGAGCCTCCGTTCCTGGGAGGTGTTGCCAATAAGAGACAACTTTGCTCCTTCTGGTTTGATTCTGTTTCTTCTGGGTTATCAAGTCTCCTTTGGTACTTAAAGTCCTTAGCAGAGTGACTTCTCCCCTTGTTCAAGAAGTCTCCTTCTTTCCCGGTACTCGAATTTGGGATTCAAATCAGGGGTGTTTTCCAACCCCGAGGCTCTGGGGAAAGGGCTTCTCTCTCCAGTTGCGGGGTCTGGCCCAGAGGAGGCCCAGCGCTGCGGCGTGTGGGAGGGTGTATAGTTCCCAGGGGCATTTTTCCTGTGGACTCGGCCATCCCCCACTGACCAGGCCTGGCACAGCTGACCCTTGGAGACCCTTGCTGCTTTTCCTCCAGAGCACACAGCACCCACCCCAGGCCCTCCCACAGGGCCACCTTCCCCCATGGGTGCACTGTGCGTGTTAGTCACTCATCAGTGTCCGAGTCTTTGCGACCCACTGGACGGTGCCCGGCCCAGGGATTGAACTCTCACCTCTTGTCACTTATGTCTCCTACATTAGCAGGTAGGTTCTTCACCACTTGCACCTCCTGGGAAGCCTCGCATACATACATACACATGAAAGAGAGTGAAAGTTGCTCTGTTGTGTCCGACTATTTACCACCCCATGGACTGCAGCCCACCAGGCTCCTCTGTCCATGGAATTCTCCAGGCAAGAGTACTGGAGTGGGTAGCCATTCCCTTCCCGAGGGAATCTTCCCAACTCAGGGATTGAACCCAAGTCTCCCGCATTGCAGGCAGATTTTTTTCCCGTCTGAGCCATGAGAGAAGCTGGTACATACACATACATGTGTATAAATAAACAAACAAATGGCATCTTTCATGAAGATCTAATGGTTTGCTTTTAACAGATCATTGAAAAGTGTAAAGCCACTGCTATATTTAAAATGGATAGCCCACAAGGACCTACTGTCCAGCCATGGGGCTCTGCCCAGTGTTGTGTAGTGACCTGGATGGAAGCAGAGTTTGGGGGAGAATGGGTACATGTGTATGTATGTCTGTGTGTGTATCGCCGAGTCCTTCACTTGTTCACCTGAAACTGTCACATTGTTAATTGGCTATACCCCCAGTACAAAAGGAAAAGTTTAAAAAAGAAATTCAAAACTGTAAACCATGATTCCTTGTTGCCTTGGGCTCAAGTCAAGACGAAGCTAAAGTCAAATGTGAATGCCCAAGGATGCCAGCCACTCTACTTGTCATGTTCCAGGAATTAACTTTTGCCTTCCTCTGTGAAAAGTGATCTTGAACTTGCTATGAGAGAGGGCTGGTTTGTGTTGTTTGAAAAAGCATATGAAATCTTTTCATACAATTTTATGTCTGGACAGCAAAATACCAAGTGTTTGATAGTACATATTGTGGAAAATAAAGCTCAGTAAAATCTCCTTGCTTGGCACTGATGTGCTGGTGACACAGGATCACTTCCTGGATTTGGAAAAACTAGTCAGACACTGTGGAAAAGAGTTTCCAGTTCACATGTTGACTTTTTGATTTACTGTAGGGTTGCTTATATGTTCTTACTATAACCAAGTAAAATATTTTTTCTTTTAGAAGTTGGTGGGAAAATATTAATAAATACCACAAAAGCCCCAGCCATATCAACATCCCTGAGTCAGGGCAAGGGACTTTTCCTTTGGAGAAAATTGCAAGAATTGGTCTTAATAGCAGCTATCACATTTTGTAACATGAAATTACGTGATGGTTTGACTGGTTTTGTAGGGCCTGGACTGAAGGAGATACTTACTCAGTTAAGTATTTCTTGGATGGATGAATGAATCATTCAGGGAATATATTTCAAGAGGTCTGAGCTGTACGAAAATCATATATGCAAACTGACAAAGAGAATCAAGTCATTTTTAATTGAACCTAGGATTAGTATTAGGGAGGTAGGATTGGGGGGTTATCCTGAAAGATTTTTTTTTTTAAATCTTCATTCTGTTATATTATTTTTAACTTAAAAAAAGTGAAAGGGCAAAAGAAAACGATATATGCAACAAACAGTTTAGGAAAAAATAATAAGTATATAAAACCCATGTGCCAAATGTTAAAAACTGGTAAATCAGAGTCATGGATATATGGGAGGACTAACCACTTTCTCTGTTCATTTAAGAATTATTTCAAAATAAAAAGTTTTTTAAAAAGTAGTGGGAAAAATGGGATCCATAGCCACAGTGTGAAGTGTTGAGTTTGAAAGGCACTTATTTTCCCCTGTTCGGCAGTCTTTAAACAGGAAGGCGTAATTCCTTCCCCGCTTTGTGTCTCCCCGAGAGCAGCTTTGATGCCTCTGGACCCTGGGGCCTGTAAAAGGCCTCGGGGACCGGCCACTGGTGGAGGGCGGGAGCTTTCGCCTGGCCCTGGCTTCATCAAAGCCTTCTAACTGAGGGCCTTATTTTTCCTCTCCCTATCTCTCTCCTGTTTCATTTCTAGGAACCAACGGTTGTAGAAAAAAGATAGTGGCCCTAGATAATAGTGGGTTCTTTTATTGTGACTGTTTTGTGCAATAAAATGGGCTAGTTGTGTGCACTTGAGTATTTCAAGGGTCTGTGTGGCGAGAGTTGCTGGGAGTTGGACTTGACTGTATTGTCACTCACCTATCGGTGTTGTTGAGGGTTCAGCTCACTTCAGAACCACATTATCTGAAGCTCTCAGTTGCTGTCTTGAATGGAGGTGGGAATTTTGCCGGGCTGTTTTCCGTGGAGTAGCTGTGTTCCTGGTGGCTGTGATACAATCAGGATGTGCTTCGTAATTACTTCAGATCAGCGAGTACATTTTGCCTTTGCAGATGCTGTGGCCCTTTGCAAACACGTGTTAAAACTCCTATGCTCACACTCTATGCAGTGAGGGGTACAGATCGAAGTAGATGAAGCTCTCAGTTTCAGGATTTAATTGGCAGTTGGGTTTAAGCCCATCACTTTTATTTTTTAATTAAACACACACACATACACACAAACACTGCCTGAATCCTTTGAAAAACAGTGACTCCAGTCTTAGGAAAACAAAAACAAGCCTGCTGATTGCGGAAGTGAGTGAATCTGTAGTGGAACATACGGAGGAAATAAACAAACATGTTGAGGTACTACTATTCAACAAACATTAAAGGAAGGTCTGCTCTGTGCCTGGCCTGGGCTGGACCCTTGGTACAAGATTAACCTGAGCTGGTTGCTGCTTCCCAGAAGAGAGGACCCCATGCAAACTGCATTGGCACAAGTATTACATGTTTCAATCCTCACCATAGTTTGAGGTAGGGTGTAAATCCCAAGTCAGGCTGTCCGTGAAAAATGAAGGAGGAGTTGGTGCAAGACTGGTTCCATGGGCTGCGACCCATGTAGTCACACAGGTTCATCTTCAGGAGGGCCCTGAGCTTGCTTTAATGTTCTGCAGTTGCTGTCTTGAAATTCTGAATAATTTGAACAAGGACCTTGCATCTTCATTTTACCCTGAACCCCACAGATTAGTAGCTGGTCCTATTTCAGTCTCTTGCCTAAAGGTCCCTCAGTCAGCAAGTGGCAGATCTAGAATGCAGGGTCGTATGTCTAACCCCCAAATACAGCGTACTTCATTTTCTTTGGGAAACTGATTGAAATATGTGATAAAACATGTCCAATCCCTGTGCAGTGGGGAAAGCTTGGAATTCTCTGTTAGTGTTCCATACAGTCAAACGGAGTTAACATCAGTCTCAAAAGTCCCCTGGTCTCTTAAGAGGCCACCTTATCACACACCCTGCTTGAGACCCTACACTTGGAATGTTAATTAAAAAAATTTTTTTATTTACTTATTTGCATTGTGTCTTACTTGCAGTATATGGGATCTAGTTTCTTGACCAGGGATCGAACCTGGGCCCTTTGCAGATTCTTAACTGCTGAATCACCAGGGAAGTCCCAGAATGTTAATTTTAAAGTTAGCTTTTCTGTGACATGCAGATGTCCAGACATGTCAGCAACCATGGCTAACACCAGAGTCATACAGGCCACTGATGTGACTCAGCCCACAGTCCATGGTGGGACAGCTGCTGGAATGGCCAGGGGGGTGGCCAGCCCCGTGGAATTGAGCACCAGGGAAAGGAACACCATTGTCAAAGGGTGTGTTACTCAGCTCCAAGCAGAATTGGGTTTGGGGTCTAAAACTTGTCATGCAACCTGCAGTTCCATCACCTGCAAAAGGCCCTAAACTGTAACTGACATCAGTGAGTCCCTCCTCCTTGGGGAACTCTGTACTTTAAAAAAAAAAAAAAGGTACATCCCTGAAAATCCACAAATCAGGCCCATCTTCATCAGGTCAGCTGACCTGGGGAGCCTAGGCTTGCCAATTCCCACCATTCACAGCATACTCTTTTGTCCCAGGATAGCATCATTTGTCTCGTATTAGCAAGGGTAGCTCTTACATTTCGGATGAAGATGCTGAGGCTGCAAGTTTGGATCACTTGTCAAAGCCTCTCGGCAGACAAGCTAGGAAGTCCAGGATGAAACTGCACTTCTGGGCTTCCCTGGGGGTGGCGTGGATAAGAATCTGCCTGCCAATGCAGGGAACATGGGTTCAATCCCTGGTCCAGGAAGATCCCACATGCCATGGAGCAACTAAGCCCGTGAGCCGCAACTACTGAACTTTGGGTTGCAAATACTGAGGCCGCATCCTACAACTACTGGAGCCTGTGCATCTAGAGCCTGTGCTCTGCAACAGGAGAGTAGCTCCCGCTCTCTGCAGCTAGAGAAAACGTACACAGCAGCAGAGACCCAGCGCAGCCAAAAAAAAGAAAGAAAACAGCCTCGGGTCTGAGGGCTTCCCAGGCTCTCCCCGACTCCGCTGTCTGTCTGCCCAGTGCTCGCCGGAATGTGGACAGTAAGTGCCCCTGGTTCCCCGCCTGTGCATCTCTGGAGACTTGCCCTCACGTTTAATTTGTGCTGGGAAGAAGCAAAGCAGTGGTCTGCTAGTTTTCCTTCCCAGCTCCAATTTTTCAAGATTGCTCACATCTGTAGAAAACTTGATTTAAGAGTACAGTGAATACCCACAGACTCACCACTTGTTATATTACAACAGTTTTTTCACATTTTGTCACATTTGCTTTCACTTTTTTTTTTTCTATCCTCGTTGCTCGGTCACTCAGTTGTGTCCAATCCTTTGTGACCCCATGGACTGCAGCACGCCAGGCTTCCTTGTCCATCACCGACTCCTGGAGCTTACTCAAACTCATGTCCATTGAGTCGGTGATGCCATCCAACCAACTTATCCTCTGTTGCCCACTTTTCATCCTGCCCTCAATCTTTCCCAGCTTCAGGGTCTTTTCCAATGAGGCTGCTCTTCGCATCAGGTGGCCAAAGTATTGGAGTTTCAGCTTCACCATCAGTCCTTCCAATGAATATTCAGAACTGATCTCCTTTAGGATGGACTGGTTGGATCTCCTTGCAGTCCAAGGGACTCTCAAGTCTTCTCCAACACCACAGTTCAAAAGCATCAATTCTTTGGCATTCAGCCTTCTTTATGGTCCAGCTGTCACATATATATATGAGTACTGGAAAAACCATAGCTTTGACTATATAGACTTTTTCAATCATAGATACTTTTTTTTCCCCTTGAACCATTTGAGAGTCAGTTGCAGATATCCTGATGTTTTCTCCCTAACTACTTCAGCATGTGTCTCCTAATAAGAAAGATCTTCTACTACAGAAGCCTAATATCTTATCACACCTGTGAAAATGAACAATCCCTCTTGCTATCAAGGCTGCCAGTTCAGTACTGTTCAGTGTGTGGTCAGCCCACTGGGGTCATCTGGCAAACTATCAAGAACAAGCTAAATACCAAAAGTGAGAGCAAGTTTTCAGAAATTTTTACAATGATTTTTCTAAAAATATATCTGTTTTGTTGCACCAGATTTCAGCTATGGCAAGAGGGATCTTTAGTTGCAGCACGTGGGATCTAGTTCCCTGACTAGGGATCTAACCTGGGCCCCCTGCATTGGGAGTGTGGAGTCTAAGCCACTCGACCACCAGAGAAATCCCAATTTCATAGTAATTTGACAGGGTAATTTTAGACCTCGTAAGTTTAATAATAAAAAAACCTGGGCTTGCATTTTTGCATATTTTATTTTCAAGAAATTCGCTTTTATTATATTTTATAAAAGCATCTGCTGCTGTTGCTAAGTCGCTTCAATCGTGTCTGGCTCTGTGCGACCCCATAGACGGCAGCCCACCAGGCTCCGCCGTCCCTGGGATTCTCCAGGCAAGAACACTGGAGTGGGTTGCCATTTCCTTCTCCAATGCATGAAAGTGAAAAGTGAAGTCGCTCAGTCGTGTCCGACTCTTAGCGATCCCATGGACTGTAGCCTACCAGGCTCCTCCATCCATGGGATTTTCCAGTCAAGAGTACTGGAGTAGGGTGCCATTGCCTTCTCCAAAAAGCATCTGAGAAACACGAAAAAATAAAAACAAAAACTGGTTCTTCACCGCAGAGAGTTTGAGAAGCTCTGCTTAATTCCCAGACGGTTTTCAAATTTCCTCAACTTTTCAAAACATCTTTTACTAGATTTTTTTGAGAGAGATCGAGGACCCAGCTGCAGCGCACAGATTCTGTCTGGTGGTCATGAGCTCTACCCACCCTTCTAAGCAGAGACTAGGCCTTCCTCCTGCTCTTCTTTGGAACTTGAGGGTGAGCTTCCTTAGAGACAGCAACTTCAGTATTTAGGGGGTCTGCCACTCTCTGAGGCCCCTGCAAATTACTGTTCATAAAACTATAATCATGGAAGCCCAATGACCTGATAAGCTATTTTTAAATTTTCCTTGAATGTCTTTGTGATGGCAGGAAAAAAGTGTTGACGTGTCTGTGGCATTGTGGCAGAGTTACGCGGGGTAAGGCAGAAACGCTGTGTTTGTGTTCAGTGTCAGCCCTTTGTGATGTGCTGATGTTGGAGACGGTCGGCGGGTAAACCACACAGCAGCATGCGGTGCTCAGGCTTTGGCCAGACGCCTTTGCACGTGGATCGGAAGTTGTCGGGCTTGGGCTCAAGGCTGTCAGCGAGGAGGTGGTGGACCGGGTGTGGGCTTAGGGACTCCCAGCCGGGAAGGGACGTGTGTGTGTCTGAATTCGTGTCCACGAAAGAGAAATATTCAGCGTGACTGATGTAAGGCAGGATGCAAATAAATACCACTTGCTGCGTGTGTGAAGCATTGAATATGGCGCCCGGGACATAGTCGCTCGTAGTGCAAATGCTGCTGGGCTGTCCACCACTGGCCAGCATCACGGCTGCAAAACGAGCAGTTACACAGGCCCTGGGCTTAGAAGGGCCCTGTGTTGGGTTTTAATGCTCTGCGGCTGCCCTCAGAAAACACTTTAATAATTGTTAACAAGGTGCCCTGCATTTGCTTTTTGCACTGGGTCCTGCAAATTATGTCACCAGTCTCATCCCTCCAATCTATTGACCTGCCTCTGATTTCATAGCAAGATGGGCTGGATGGCTGAGTGCAAGCTCAGGCTCCCCCGACACTGACAGACACACCACACACACATGCACACACACACGCACACACACAAACAGCATAGCTTTCCACGTTCTGCCCTGAGCCTTCTCCAACGCCAAAGGATTGCCTTTGCCTGCACTGAGCTACAGCTCAGAAGGTAGGGGAAATGAAGTGTGTGTGGCGAGGGGTTCCTACAAGTGATGGTCATTACTGGGAGTGGGAGTGGTGAGGGATTCCTACAAGTGATGGTCATTATTGGGAGTGGGAGTGGTGGGTCGAAGTTCTGGGCTCCAGCTCACTGGAGATGCACTTCTGACGTGTGTTCTGCATACTTCTTAGAGTTCCCAGGATAAGTGAGCCCCTGCTGCTCTATTTCCACTCTCAATACCCTTACTGCTGCTTCCTGGGACCACCTCCCAAGTAAACCTCTTGCACCCAAGACCTTGTCTGGGATCCTGCTTCTGGGGAAACTCATGCTAAGACAGTCTCACTAGGAGGTGTTCTATAAGCGTGTGTTATATGAACAAGCTTAGCTCACTAGGATTATTGACAGGAGTCAATGAGATAAACTGTGGAAACCTCTGGTTCAGAGCTTGGAACATAGTAGGAGGTAACTAAGTGGTGTATGTGTCTGCGTGTGCAAACTCAGTCATGTCTGACTCTTTGCGACCCCATGGACTGTAGCCTGCTAGGCTCCTCAGCCCATGGAATTCTCCCGGCATGAATACTGGAGTGGGTACCTATTCCCTTCTCCAGGGAATCTTCCCAACCCGGGATCAAACATGCATCTCTTGTGTCTTTTGCCCTGGCAGGAGTATCCTTTACCACTAGCAGAGCCTGGGAAGCCCTCAGTCAGTATAACTTCTTTTCTAACCTGTTCAGAGCTTCTTGTTAA